TCTTTTAATTCCATTTTTCCATGAAATTTTTGAAGTATCCTCATAGGTAGGGTTATCCTTATTCAACCTCACAAAGAAAGCAGAATATCTGCATATCAAATAAGCATTGGCATTATTTCCAGTAAAGTGGTCATGATTCTGTCCTTAAAATATTTGATAAGCAGTATAAATAATAAATTTTAAAAGTAAAGAGGCATTTAAAATTTAAATTTTTTTCAAGTGGTTATTCTTACGGAAGCTACATTTGGAAGCCTGAGATTCATTCTCTTAGTGAGCTAAATAGTCAATATTAACATTATGCTTCTTTCCCTTGATTTATCATATATGCCACCTTGAAGATGATTAGCTAGCAATAATACCATTTTCATGGAGTCCAGGGACTTAGTCGTCATTGTTTTATCCATTTTTCAAAGCTGAAAGCCACATTTGCTAATGAGATGATATAATGCTAAATCCCACAGAAACGCGTATTCCATAGTCACTTGTATAACAGTGTCTTTAACACTTAAGATCAGAAGGGAGGGGGTATTATGATAGAGTCACCAGGGTGTTGAAAATGAACTGATACAGGTATATAAAATGTACTTCTGGCTTGCTGCCGAGCTATCAGTTTGGAGTTCCCTACAGTGTAATGTCTCTGAGGGCTTAAATTGCTGAGTATAAAAAGGGAACAGTGGTTTTAAGTACACTTCCACTTTTTTTTGAAATAAGTTTCAGTTAATAAAATTCACTCCTTGTGAACTACCACCACCAAAGCTTCAGAGTTTCAAGCCCGGTGTCGATAAGATGCAATTTATTTTATTTCCACTGCAAAATTGAAGAACTACTGAAGGGAAATAAGTATATATGAATTCATGTAATCTGTAATTTTAAAATATGCAAGAAATACTTTTACAGTACTGGTTTAGAAACCCAAACAATCACATGTATTATCACCAGTACATAAATATTCAGATAAGTACCATAACTTAAGTGTATCTATGTCTGAGAAAAATAGTTGTGTTGGTATATTGAAGCTCTTTTTGAAAGGTATATTTAATGTGTATATGTTTTACTATTATTGGGATCAGAATGAGAGTCTTACCAATTAGGATTTGGAAAATGAAGTTTGTCTTAAGATCAAGAGCATTTAAGACAGGGCAAGTGAAAGGAATACTGCAAATAGGGTTGGGTGAAGGCCATCTGATATTTGAACTGTTCCACTTTTAGTTATTTTTAATTATTAAATCATGCTGTGTACATTCTTCGTTCACACTTAGTACCCTACAAATGCTCCTGTGTGACAGATATGGCTAAAAATAAATCCCTTATGTCTGCTCTATAGTCTGTATATTCAACAACTTAATTGATTTATTAACTTAGTTCTTTTTTTGTTGGCTGGCCAGTGGGGGGATCCGAACTCTTGACCTTGGTGTTTTAACACTGCGTTCTAACCAACTGAGCTAACCAGCCAGACCTTATGTTTAATGCTGAACAAATACAAGGTAATACATTTCAAAACATTATTTTAATTTTCAAGTAGACAGCAATGTTAACCGTTGCTTTAAATGTTAGACACGGGGTCATAAAATATTGGGGTTGAAGGGATTTTAGAAGCAACAGAGTAAAATTTTTAATCTTTTATCTGTTAAGCTTTGCCTACTATTTTAATGAAGAGCTATTCAATTCAACACTAGACTGTAGGCTTTATGACAGCAAAGACCAAATCTGTTTCCTTTATAAGTACATGTCAAGCACATTGCATAGTGGCTCATAAATAGTTGTTGAGTGAATGAATGAAGATACTGAATGAGATTCCTTATATGTTGCTGGCATTGGACTAGGAGCTGGGAATTCAAAGATGTACAGCATGATCATTCCTCACTTTCTCTGGGAGAAAAACAATACATAAGCAAGTTGCTACAATATGTGTAAAATTTAAGTGTGGCAATTTAAGCATGTTTGGTGATCTATGAGAGCACTGAATTGAGAGTAATTTCTTCCTCTTGGTGGGAGTTGGGGATGATAGACACTCAGGGAAGACTACAGAGACAGGTGACATTACGGTTGGGCCTTTAGCATTGAGTGGGAGTTCACCAGGCAGATAAGGTGGAGTGATCCAGAAAGAAGAGCATTTTCAAAGGCAGGCAGTTATAAAGAAAAAAAATTGGCATATTTGGGTAAAAAGACTGGTATGGGCTGAGGGCATTGAATGGCCTGGAGGGTGGGAACTATAGTTCAGAAGTTAAGCCAGGGCTAAGAAGAAAAGGGCTATCTACCCTCTTCGTTCATTGGACTTCATTCTCTGGGCAGGCATCCTCCTGCAAGGAGTTTGGATTGGAGTTGGAAGAGGCTGAATAATGCAGAAATATCAGTATAGAAACTGTTCATTCATTCATTCACCAAACATTTAAAATGAAGTGTTTATGACATGCCAGGCACACTGACCAGGGAATGGATTTAAAGAGGTATACTGCTGTCATCTAAGTAAAAGATGCTGGGAATTAGAATTGGACATTGGTTGAAAAAATGAGAGAAAATATACATGAGATATCCTGAGGGAAAAAGAGCAATCACACGCAGTCAGTGAAAATGTAGAAAGGTTTATAGATGAAACTAAAGTTTCCATCCTGGGAAACTTATGAGATTATGATTTATGAACTGAAATAGGAAAAACAGAAGAAAGGGCAGATAGAAGGGGATAGCAGCAGGGAAATGGAAAAACAGGAGGAGCCATGAACTTGGTTTAATAATAGTTGCATTTGTGATTCTGTTTTCTTTTTTTTTTTAAACTTTTTTGGCAGCTAGTCAGTACCGGGACCTGAACCCTTGACCTTGGTGTGACAAGGCTGTGCTCTAACCAACTGAGCTAACCAGCCAGCCCACATTTGTGATTCTAATGCCTTATGGGTTAGGAGATCAGAAGAGAGATCCAAACTAGAGATTTAGATTCCTCACCATCCATGCTGTTTCAAACTGGGAATGTTTAAACAGTAAAAAGAGAATTAGGCTAAAGTTAGAAACTTGGGCACTTTTGAAGGGTGGGTAGAGGTTAAGAATTTAGGAAAATAAAGGAAGAAGAATGTGGACCGAACAGTGCCATGAAAGTCAAGAAGAAAACTTCTAGAATGAGGATGCTGGCAAACGTTTTGAGTGCACAAGAGAATTTAACTTCTTTTGAATTTGAATCTAGGAGGCCTTTTGTGGTTTTGACGCTAGATGAGTAAATAAAACATGTTTCAAGTTGGTGATTTCAAAATGATAGTCCTAAATATGTATATTCTTTCATTATAAATATATTTACCATCTTCATGCCACAAGGGAATTTATCTTTGGTCTCATGGACAATAGTATTCCAAATACCGTTGGCCCTCCATATCTGTGGGTTCCACACCCATGGATTCAACCAACCACAGATCAAAAATACATATTAAAAGAAACTGCTTCTGTACTGAACTTCTACAAATTTTTTCCATGTCATTATTCCCTAAACAATACAGTATAACAACTATTTACATTGTAGTTGGTATTATAAGTAATCTAGAGATGATTTAAAGTATCAGGGAGGATGTGCATAGGTTATATGCAAATACTACACCATTTAATATCAGGGACTTGAGCATCCAAGGATTTTGGTATCCGTGTAGGTCCTGGCACCAATTCCCTGAGGATGCTGAGGGACGACTGTATGTAATGATTTTTCCTCATGTCTGCAGTGGGCTAACGCAACTGAAAATTCTATTACATACATTGCCTTCTAAGGAAAGGGCAGCATTAATGGCCTCATTTTACAGTATCATAACTAAACATCATGTAGTTTACTCAGCAAGAGGCCAAAACCTAGACTCCTGGCTCTTGATTCAGTTTTGTGCTTTTCCCAACTCTGATACTAAGTAACACACACACACATGTGCACACGCACCAGACTACTTTAGTACAGACACCTAAATTCATTTCCTAATAGCAAAATCAAAATGGCTTTTGCCCTCTAACTTTTAAATGTTTCATTTCATATCATTGAAAACAGACAGATGATTAGATCACTATCTTCTTTGGGAGAAAATACCATGTGAAAGAAGATTTTTTTTTTCCTTTTTGTCTTTTTTTACTGACCGGTAACAGGATCGCAACCCTCGGTGTCGCGCCCGTACCAGGGACCAGCAACGGGATTGCAACCCTCGGTGTTGCGCCCGCACCGCGCTCAGCCAGTGAGCGGGAACCGGTCTCCACATGGGATCCGAACCCTTGGCGGGAGCGCCGTCGCGCTCCCAAGAGGCGCACTGTAGCAGTGCGCCACCGGGCCGGCCCCTAAATTTTATTTTTTATATCATACAATAAAAATTATTTTTTTGGTGTACAGTTTTATAATTAAATTTTAACACATGCATAGATTCATATAACCAACACCATTAATCAGGTGCAGAACAGTTTAATTGCCCCCCCAAAATCCCTCATGCTATATATATCTTTATAGTCACAAAAAACAATTCACATTATTTTAATGATTTTTCCCATGAAAGAGTAAAGCAAAACAACAAACACACTCCCTCCAAAACATCTGGGAATCACTGACCCAAGGATTCAAAAAACACAGGATATGGTAAGGTTTATGTGTGCTCAGTTCCTTTTTCAGTCTTTTTTGTTGTTGTTGTTGTTGTGACCGGTAAGGGGATCACAACCCTCGGCTTGGTGTCACACCGGCCATCCCTATATAGGATCCAAACCCACAGCGGGAGCGCCGCTACGCTCCCAGCGCCGCACTCTCCTGAGTGAGCCACGGGGTCGGCCCCCTTTTTCAGTCTTAGTGAGAAGGAAAGCTCACACGGCGCACTCTCCAGTGCGGAGAGTGCGCCACCGGGCCGGCCCTGAAAGAAGATTTTGAATATGTGAAAGATGGACTGATTTCTATTGTTTAAGGAGCCTATTTTTAACTTTGTGGGAAGACAACACATCACTCAAGTTCAGATTAGAACCTCTTTTGAGTCTCTCAAAGGGCCCTGAAATGAAGTAGTAGATGGTACCTTGACTTTTTCGAGGTGATCTTGGAGAGAGTCAATGAGGAGATCGCCCACGGGCTGCCAGGATCCCTTGATCACCTCTGCTTGGCGCAGCTTGAGGTCCAGCTCATCCGTTGCCTCCTGAAGTTCCTGGAGTCTTTCGAGGGCCTCATCTATTTTTCTCTGCCAGTCAGCAGAGTGCAGGTTCAATTTTTCCCACTCAGTGTTGACCTCCTCAGCTTGCTTTCGTAGCAGCCGTGTGACATTCTGTGCTCTTTCTTCAGGAGGCAGCTCTAAATTGGCAATATGACAAAGTTTTAGGCCACATTCATTTTTGTTAAAAAAAAAATTGTCAAAAAGGTTATACTGGAAGAAAGAAAGAGAGTACAGTTTAACAAGAGGTGAAACTACTGATAATGGCTCTTTTACACTTTGGCATAGATTTTGATACAGTCCAGCACATCTAAAGTCTGTTTTCCTGAGTGAATCTGTTCTACCTCATATCAATCAGATAATCGAAGATTCATTTAAGCTATTGAGAAAAAAAAAATGTTTGGATACACACTGCAAGTTCTTATTTACTTCAGTCAGGCTAAGTTGAAAATAAGCTTGTGGTCTTGGTAACAATAGAATTCTTCCTCACAGATAAACTCCTTTGTTTTTTCCTTTCCAAATGTTCCAATAACTGATCGCTAATCTCTTTCAATGTTTATTTATGAATGTGCAAACAGATTTATGCATGGTGGTTTAGTGTTCCTTATTCTTTTTTGACATCTATGTTTAATTTGAATTGATTCTATTTAACCTAGAAAATATGAGAGCTATCTAGACCCTGGCAGCAAGAATGGGGGCCGCTCTGTCAACACGGATTCTTCTATCAAAATGTTATTATAGTTCCACATTCAATTACCTCTGGGCTCCTGGTAGAGTTTCTCTAGTCCTTCCAAAGGCTGCTCTGTTAGAAATATTCGTACAGTCTCAAGAGTACTCATGATTACAGGTTCTTTAGTTTTCAATTCCCTCTTGAAGGCCTGTGAAATGAGATGAAAAGAAATGCTTATTTGGCTTGTGACATTCTTCTCAAAATGAATCCTGGGTGCTCAGCACTTGTTTATGAAACTCCCAGGTAAATTTCTATCTCCTTTATTTATAACTGATAGTCATAAAATGATAAAGAAGGCTATATAGGTCTTTCTGTTAATGAGAAAACCACTGTGCTTGTAAAATTATTCTGGGGATAAAGGAGGAACTTTCAAGATAGTTAATGCCCTTTCATTAAGATAAGAGTGTTTTATTACACAATCTGATTGCCAAACTTGAAATCTAGAGCCAAAGTTGCAAGGCATATATTGCAAAACCCTAGCACAGCTAATGAGGACTTAAACACACCCAAAAGAACGGATATCCAGAGCACAGTGAGAAGCCTAACGACCATTTGGAGGAACTTAGGCTGTACCAAAGTATACAACTAATCCAGTTGATAGTACCCGTTAATTCTGTCAAAATGTCTGATATTGAGTAAAATAGTCTGTTAACAATAAGCTAACTGAAAACTCTTAGTACTTTGAAAAATACTCATTACACTATCCATCATGAGTTTCTGAGAACAGAAGAAATGTTTTGAGCTATTATGGAGATAGAAATTGTGGGAACAAGTTTGTATAAATAAATAGACCTAGAATAGATGTCTTGAGGCCATCTAGGCTAGTTATCAATTTTAACTTGTAATCTGTAATGTTCCTTGATATTAGGGGATTAAGAAAAAAGCAAAATGCATAGTTTATGCCTTCAAGAAGTTTCCGGGCCCAAAGAAGGGAGAAAATACACGAGAAGCAGAGTGAAAACAGTGAGTTCACATATAATCAAGTGCTAAGAGGGTTGTGGGGCATAATGTGAGGCGAGGATAAACTAACAGATACTCCAAAACCATTGAAGATGGTTATTGACCCAGATTCCATGATCTCAGAAGTGAAGGTGTTAATAAAAGTATTAACTATTTCATAAATGCTGATATATCTGTGTAACACCAGTAATAATAATTGCCTGGATCTAGATCTTAATTTTTCCTATCTTTTTAACTGTTTTATTCTTAGCAATGTTGCCTATTGAATTTAAGCCCTGTTCTGTCACAGGAGAAAAATTATAAGTATCCTCTTTTAAACTTTGGATACACCATTATGCTATAGCAGTGCTCGAGAATGGTATTATACGACACATTTAGCAATAGAATCTGAGTGGTGTTCACCATTCAAAAGAATCCTGAGTCTGATATGTTGCAAAACGACTTATAGCCCATAGTTATTTATAATTTAGTAGAGAGGCAAGGCATTTAAACCAAAATAATGGAGTTCTATAAGTGGAATATTAGGATTCGGCCTGTGGATGGGGAAGTAATTTCTGTATAGTGGGATATTTCTGTATTCGTGAAATCGTACTGAGTAGGTGGGTTATTTACTCTGCTTGCATATAAGGCTGATTCTCCCTCTAATGTTTCACTTGAAATTTCTCCGTGTGAGTTGTGTGTGTGTGTGCACATGCATGTGCATATGTGTATACAATTCTTTTATTCCTGTATTTTTTCATACATTTAATTTTCCCAACTTTAAGGAAATTATCATTTTTTTTTTTTTTTTTTTTTTTTTTTTTTTTTTTTTCCGTT